AAAAAAAAAAAAAAAGCAGCCAGGAGAAAAGATGTATTATTTTGAATGGACAATAAAACAATGAGATAACCTATCAAGACAAACAATAGAAAGCAGGAAACAGTAAAATGATCTTCAAAAGCTTATACTGTAAGACAGCTGTTCTTAGATATGTGTTCAAGGATGTTTATTGTATTATAGTTTGTTGTAGTACAAAGTTGAAAATCATATAAATGTACTAAAGGAGGGACCTGTTAAAAATATTTACCCTGTAGACTTTAAAATGATTCAGTCATGTAGAAAGAAGTTTAATGATTTCTCAAAAGGTTAAACATAGCAGGCTTGCAGGTTGTACCCTGTGGTTGGTTGATTATGCATGGAGGGGATTGTAACCATGGCAATGAATCAATATATGATAGGTTGAATGTAAAGCTAATGTTCTCCCATGTAAACTATCACATAATTCACGATAAAATAAAGCAAAACATTAAACATAGAATTCCTATGCTGTCGTTAAGTGTTATCACATCAGTTCCAACTCATAGTGACCCTATATAGGGTTTCCAAGGAGCATCTTGTGGATTTGAACCATCTATCTTGTGGGTCACAGTCCAGTGGATTATTCTACAGTGCTACACCAGGAATCCTGTAAAATTCAACATTTCCACTCTTAGGTATGTACACAAAAGGACAGAAAGTAGGTACTCAAAAAAGGAGTCTTGATGTGGCACGGAAAGGTGAGCGCAGGACTGCTAGGTGGATCTGAATCCCAAGGTCAGTGGTTCAAACTCACCAGCCATTCCTCAGAAACTCTATACTGGGGCGCTATGAGTCAGAATTGACTCTCCAGCACTTAACAACAACAACAGCATTTAAACAAACACAGGTACATCAATGGCAACACCAGAGGTTGCTGGGGGTGGGGTGGGGAAGGGGGTGTGCAGATGATACCAGGTGACACTGTCAGACAGGGTGATAACAAAATTACTATAAAATACCAGTGCAGTGGTTCAGCAGAAATGTTTTATTTTTAAATTGAAATATCCCTATAGTTAGTTGTTAGGAGCTCTGGTAGCGTAGTGGTTACGAATCGGACTGTGAACGCAAGGTCAGCAGTTCGAAACTACCAGCTGTTCCGTGGGAGAAAGATGAGTCATTCTGCTTCCGTAAAGATTTACAGCCTCGGAAACCCTGTACAGGGGCGCTATGAGTCAGAACTAACTCTACGGCACATAACAACAACAACAACAATAGTTAGTTGTAACAACAAAAACATTTTTTTGTACACCAGATTACATATATAAATGTACCTACAAGGCTAAAACTATATGCCAATTTATCGGGCTGCCAACCTCAGGGTCAGCAGTTTGAAACTACCAGCCATTCCGTGGGGGAAAGATGAGGCTTTCTGCTCCCGTAAAGATTTACAGCCTCGGAAACCCTGTCAGGGTCGCTATGGGTCAGAACCGACTCCACAGCACATAATAACAATAATGTGCTCTACTCAAATCACATGGTTTCAACTGTATGGGCTACAAGTACTCACTGGTGTGTTTGTTGCTGCAGGTGTTTTTAAAGTCGCTGGTTTTTGTCAATTTTTCTCGTGTTTTAGCCCCATAGTATTGTGGTAACTAGTACTTGAGAACCAATATCAATAACTATTTTGAGAATGAAGCAGTCATTAAAGGAAAGCAAGGAGAAATTTACAAAGGCTTCTGTTATTAATAAGGTTGTAACTAATGTTACAGTTCAATGCAGAAAGATTTTACAAAATAATTTTGTTAGTGTTTGTATAATCTTAGAAAGACTACATGAAAGCAGTTTACAAATACATCATATTGTTGTTGTTAAGTGCTGTCGAGTCGTTTCCGACCCATAGCGACCCTGTACAGGGTTTCCGAGGGTGTAAATCTTTACGGGAGTAGAAAGCCTCATCTTTCTCCCGCGGAGCGGCTGGTAGTTTCGAACTGCTGACCTTAAGGTTCGCAGCCCGATTCGTAACCACTACGCTATACATCATATTAGTCGGATTAAAACTGAGAACAAGCACCACAAAGGATCCTGTATGGTCTGATATGGGAGAAGGCACAAGGAAGGAGTGATGAGCTACTGCACTGAGTGACAGCAACCGTAGATGCCACAGGTTCATACATGCATGTTCATAGTAGCATTATTCGCAGTCACCCAAAGATGGAAACAGCCCAGATATCCACTGATGATGAATGGATAAACAAAGTATGATATATCCATACAATGGAATATTCTATCACCATGAAGAGAAATGAAGTTCTGATCTATGCTACAGTGTGGATGAACCTAGAAATCATTATACTACATGAAAGGAGCCAGATTCTAAAGGTCACATAGTGTATGCATTCATTTATATTAAATAACCAGAAGAGGGGAGCCCAGATGTAGTGCTGGGGGACAAGCACTAACCAAAAGGTCAGCAGTTCTAATCTATCAGCTGCTGCTTGGAAACCCTTTATCTGAACTGACTCGATCAGCCAGAATAGGTCAATTCATAGAGACAGGATGCAGATTGGTTGTTCCCACAACTGTGGGAAGAAATATAGGAACAATGAGTCAAAGGTTTCCTTTTGGGGTGATGGAAATGTTTTGGAACTAGTTACAGGTGGTGGTTGCAAGCACTGGGAAGATACTAAAAGTCACTTTATTTTTCACTTTAAAGTGGTTAATTTTATGTTGAATGAATTTACCCCAATTTTAAAAAGCATTTTAATATTTACCTCCCTTAAATCAACCATGTGGCCATTAAGAAAAATGAGATACTTAGGTGGTGCTGTGAAAAGATGTTCCAGATGCATATGTTAATTGGAAAAAAAAAAGTAGGTTATAGAGTAACATATAACATATGTTCTAATTTACATTGACAGTATTTAGACATGATTAAGTATGAATGGGTAAGCATGAAAATGTTAGCAATGGTTTATTGTTGAGTGGTGGAACTATGAGTTTTTTGTGTATACGCTATAAGTTTTTATGATGATCATGCATTATTAGACAGAGATATTTCCATTTAAGAAAATGAAATCAGGCAGAAAAGGGCATGTGCTCTCTATGGCTCCTGAGTCCATGTGGGGTGATGAATACTGGTAAGTGAATTCTCATTACCTTTCTATGGAAGAAACCTGCAAAAGAAGGGCTGAGTAAGACCACTAGACTCAGATCCCTTAACACCCTGAATCTACCTAGACCTGGGGAGGATCAAGGTGAACAGTGTCCTTGGAGATGTGCAAATGGGGACTCTCACTGCATGAGAAGCATCAGTCATTGAGTGGTCTTCTCTGACTGAGAGACATCACTTACATACATTAAGTTTCATAATAATACTAAGAATTAAGTTAAGAAAAATTTTTGTGTTTTTTTCCTTCTTACTAAAATGGCAGCCCAAACATGATTCCATATCCTAAAGATATAATAAGGCTTTAGCACTGGCAAAAATTGCAGTTCCCTCAGTCCAGTGCCGGGATATGGTACAATAATCTTGATGGCTTACCTTGGTACAGGTATGACGCAGTGCCATTTTGGATGATAAAGTCAGAATTGTTTTTATAGGTCGAGAAATCCGCCTGCCCCTCCGAATAAAAGGGGAAGGAATAGGACCTAAGATTCATTTCAACTTTGAATTGCTGGATATTGGCAAAGTTTTTGTTGGATCTGTACACTGCTATGAGGTAAGCAGCAGATTATTAATTGAGACTTTAAACAGTGCTTTGCTTTTTGTTTCTTTTACTTTGTGATTATTTTCATTTTAGAGAAGATTGGTATAGGTACATTCATTTGCCCTTAGTCATACGGTGATTGTTGTTAAGTGCCATCGAGTCAGTTCCAACTCATAGCAACCCTGAATAGCGTTTACAACGAGCTGTGGGTTTGAACTGTAGTCTAATATATCCTACAGCTCAATACTGTTTTTGTTGTTAAGTGCAATCAAGTCAGCTTCGACTCATGCTGTTGTTGTTGTTGTTAGATACCATTGAGTCGGTACCGATTCATAGCGACCCTATGCACAACAGAACAAAATACTGCCCGATCCTGGGCCAACATCACAACTTGTTGCCACACTTGAGCACATTGATGCTGCCACTTTGCCAATCCATTTCACTGGGTGTCTTCTTCTTTTTCTCATGTACATGCGACCCTCCACCTTACTAAACATGATATCCCTCTCTAGCGACTGGTCACTCCTGACAATATGTCTGAAGTATGAGAGACAAAGTTTGGCCATCCTGGCCTCCAAGGAGCCTTCTGGCTGCACTACTTCCAACACAGATCTGTTAGTTCTTTTGGGCAGCCCATGCACTTTCAATATTCTTCTCCAACACTGTAACTCAAAAGCATCAATTCTTCTATGGTCTCCCTGATTCACTGTCCAGCTTTCGCATGTACATGAGGTTATTGAAAAGACCATGGCTTGGGTCAGGTTCACCTTAGTCCTCACAGTGATCTTGTAAAGGGTTTCTGAGATGCAGCTAAGTTGGAACCACTGTCTTTTTGGTTCAAACCACCCTTGCAGTCCAGTGAATTATCCAGCAGTGCCACACTGTCTTTTAGTCATATCCTAAAATGCTCTTGGTTCTCCCTTCTCTTTCCTGGCCTTGTTGGGGGAGCCCCCTTTTCCTCTGCAGCCTCCTCTGGTTTTACTAAGAGCTAAAAACTATCAAAGCTATCATTGAATTGGTTTTATCCTCATCACATTGCATATTGCAAAGGGGAGAACCATAAATACATCTCCCCATCTGTTTAGTGCTTGTTCCCAGACAACAAATTCTGCAGATCAGAGGATAGAGAACCTTTTACATTTTCCAGAATGTCCTAATGAGGACTGTTTTCACACTTTAGAACTTTCTCTGAATATGCCGTTCTCCAGTCCACACCCACATTTAAAAATTCAGTCATTGAAGTTTCTGGAAGACACCTCCTCATTTTGTCTTTCCAAGAAAACAGAAGGTGATTATTTTATAAGATTCGTCCATGGATTCTTTAGACTCAGTGTCACCTCATCTCTAAATTTCCTTCTTGTTATTAATTATGTGCCATCAAGTTGGTTCTGGCTCATGGCAATCCTCTATAGGGTTTCCAAGGAGCAACTGGTGGGTTTGAACTACCGACCTTGAAGTTAGCAGTCCAATGTGCCACACCAATATCTGGGGTACTTTTTCACACTGTATCAAACTATACTCTTGGAAACTTTATTACAAAAATGTTCCTAAACTGAATATGTTGTTATTATGAGTGCTGTCGAGTGGGTTCTGACTCATAGTGACCCTGTGTAGTGTTTCTGAAGAGCAGCTCGTGGATTTGAACCACTGACATTGCAGTTCAAACCAACTGTGGTCCAGTGCTCATCCTACAGCACCACAGCTGGATTCAATTTAGAGTTGTTTCTAGGAGGTGGTACTGGAGAAGACCTATATCATTTGTATACCCATCCTATTAAATATTCTTAACTGCAAGGGAGGCTGGGAAACAGGCTCTGCAAACAGCGAAACCAACTGCTACAGGCATGAACTTGGCAAAGTAACGCAGATAATGTTAGTGACAGTGGGTTCCTCGAGGTCTGTATGCTGTTCTGGAGGAGAAAGCCCTTTGCTGGACTTTCGGTCCTCTCGCCTCTCAACTTCCCAGTCTCTTCCTATGGGAGAAGCCCAGCTCTGCTATCAGCCACAGCCTTACTTGGCTGCAGAAGATGAGTATCCATCTGGTGCTGTCGAGAACTACCTACAGGTCCATTCATCCCCACAGTCACTCGGATGACTCCGGCCTTAATGGGATGGTGTGCGGTTAAATAGAGATGCCAATATCTTGATGACAGTCAGTTACGTGACTGTCACGTACACAGCTAGCAGGCTGCATTATCCTGCATTACATTTTGAGAGAAGGAAGGCAGTGAGAATTGCCTGGGCACCTCACAGACTGCCCCTTATGGACAGGACATCAGAAAGAACCCTGACCTTCTGATCCAGAATGGATGGGGTTTCCCTGAGGGTCATAACAATTTCCTACATAGTTAACAGAAGTGTACTTTAGTCCACCATGTTCCGCCCTCCCAGGTTTGAAAAGTAAAGCACACCACACCACAGCTGTCAGGTAAATGATGCATCACTGGATGATCATGAGAGCTGTAGAGAGGCAGAGAAAGGCGTGGTGAGGTGCTTCTTGTGGGGATGTTTTGCACTCTCTGCGTATTTAATGCTGATGCCTCATTGCATCTCTCTTTCGATTTATTACATTACCTACTTGAGACAAATCTGAATAACTAGCTTTTGCCCTGAGTCATTGCTGAGCTTAGCAGACACATAAAGAATAAGCCATAACCTCCACAAGCATACACTATTCCCCAGTGTCATTACGAAGGCAAACAAATGAGAGGTGAAGTTCTGTTCTAGATTCTCCTCTCTGAAGAGGTGGACTGCAAGGGTAAGGGTATTGCCAGTCATCACAAGTTTTGAGTTTTGCCTCAAATGATTTCACGGATGAAGTCTTTATACCTAAGTGAGGAATGCTGGTGGCACAGATAGTTGAGTACTCAGCTGCTAACTGAAAGATGGTCAGTTCAAACCCACCAGCTACTCCATGGGAGAAAGATGTGTTGGTCTGTTTTTATAAGAATTTCAGCCTTTGGAACCCTGTGGGGCAGTTCTGGCCTATAGGGTCACTATGAGTTGGAATTGACTTGATGGCAAGGTTGTTGTTGTTGTTGTTGGCAGGGGGAGGAGTATACATAAATGTTACTGTTACTAAGTGCCATCGAGTCAGATCTGACTCATAGCAGCCCTGTATCAGGTTTCCAAGGAGCAGCTGGTAGATTTGAACCTCTGACTTTGTGGTTCAAACTGACTTTATGGTTGAGTGCTTATTCCTACAGCACCACACCAGGACTCCTATACAGAATTGTTGTTGTTATTGTTAAGTGCCATCGAGTTGGTTCCTACCCATAGCGACCCTGTATAGGGTTTCCGAGGAGCGACTGGTATGCTTGAACCACTGACCTTGCAGTTCATAATAGGTGCTCCTTTTCCAGGGGGAGAAGAATGACATGCATATTTTTGAAATTGAAGGAGCTGACAGCATGTAGAAAGTCTGGCTAAAATGTTGTTAACCCCAATCCTGGCAATGTGTGCAGTTTCTTGGAAAGGAGAAGAGTCATGAGCTGGCTCTAATATATGTCAGTCAGTCACTTGTCAAGCACGGTTAACCCTTGAGCAGATCCTGCTTGGCAATGAGCATGTAAGTAACAATTGTTATCATTCATAGCACAGTTTGCCAGGCACAGGTCTAAGCAGTATAGGAGAAGCAGCCGTAGTAGCTCTGTCTTAGAGATGGGGCCCAGTGAAGTGAAGTGGATTGTACTAAAAACCCAGTGCCATCAAGTCAATTCCAACTCATAGTGACCCTGTGTCAGGTTTCTGCAGCTGTGAATCTTTACGGGAGCAAAAAGCCTCATCTTTCTCCTGCAGAGCAGCTGATGGGTTTGAACGACTGACCTTGTGGTTAGCAGGCCAGTGCTTATCCTAGAGCACCAGCAGGGCTCCCAGAGTCTACATGGTTAACTTGTCAGAAACCAAACCTATTGCTAGTGAGTCAGTTCTGACTCATAGTGACCCAACAGAACTGCCCTCTCTGCTTTCCAAGGCTGTAATGGCTCTAGGAGCAGACTGCCTGGTGGATTTGAACTGAGCGCTTAACCCTTGGAACAAGGTTGTACAGTTAGTAAGTCAGTGGCAGAGTTGGGATTTGAACCCAGGCACTTTGACTTCAGAGTCCCTGGTCATAAGCCTGTTGCTGCATGGTTCTTTAAGACAGACTCCTACTACCAGGGAACTTAAAACAGAAGATGGGAAATACACATTAAAAAGAGGAGTATAATATCAAGCAGTAGTTATTTTATCTCTTCATCTTCGCTTATCAGAAGGAGTTGTCTTCCTGATCCTTTCTGTCTAATAAATGCTTCTCAGGAAATAGCTTTGCACATAGACCCATTCTCCTCCACATCTGCCCAGGCTCCATTCCCTTGCTTACTCAGTCCTCTTCTCTTACAAGGATCTCTGGTAGCGTAGTGGTTATGCGTCAGGCTGCTAACCTCAAGGTCAGCGGTTTGAAACTACCAGCCATTCTATGGTAGAAACACGAGGCTTTCTGCTCCCGTAAGATTTACAGCCTTGGAAGCCCTATGCAGGGTCTCGATGAGTCGGAACACTCCACAATACATCACCACCACTTCTCTTACAACAAACTTTGATGTGTGCTTACTCTAGGCCAACTACTGAGTCATGCATCTTCTCATTGTATACAAATACAAGGGAGCTTCCAAAAGTTCATGAAAAAATGGAACTAAGAGATAATAGAATTTTTCCAAAAACATTTTGAAACCCTCTCATATACTCAGCCCCCTCTACCATACCTTCCTACAGTTTTGCCACTTCACACTTTTCACTACTAATTTGCTCAAAAGAGGCATGTAGAATAGTTACTCACCACGACCCCTACACTCCCCACTCCCTAAGCATTTGCAATCACATTCCATTGGAACTACTCCCATCTTCAAAGTCAAGGATGACCTGGAATTCAAAGTTAAAACTCTGTAACTTCATATCAGAGCCTAGTCTCCTTGGTCTCTGTTCATATTTGACCACTTCTGGAAATTCTTCTCTCTCAGCCTCAGGTTCCTGACATACCCCTTACCTTTTCTTGCTGCCTTATGCAATGTATCTTAACAATATCTTATGACCTTTATCCTCTAATGTCTTAACTGTAGGTTGAGAGCAGTTCCTACATAATTCAAGTGAACATGTTGTTCACCTGGTCAGGTGCAAAGACAACGCTGGCACAGGATCAGGTGGTCTCTTTGGGAGCACAGGGGTAGAGCAGTGTGACTGTACTGCAGGTTCACATACGAGAATTGTGGGAGGTTGGGGCAGAAACAGTAGACTGAGGCCAACCGTGAAGGACAATAAATGCCAGATGTGAAGTTTTTACAAACACAAAACCTAATCTGCAACCACCTTTGGGCAACAATATGGTTCCAGAATACTGGCATATAGGA